TCCGGCTTGTTGCCAATCATAGGCTCATCGAATGGCTGGCTGGTTGGCTTCGGTTCCCCTACCGGCTTGTTGCCAATCATACATTCCCCCACTGGCTCCACCTCCTCAGCCGGTGGAGAGGTTGTTGGCTGCGGTGGGTTGAGAGGAACAAAGAACAGCTCCTCACCTGTCTCTGTGAAGCTGCCACCTCGCAGCACAGAGGGTGGCACACTGGTCCTGTGCAAAGGGGGTAGTCCATCTGAGTAGGTTTCAAGTGGTTGAGTCTCCGGCAAATTTGTAGTCAAGTCTTGCGCAGCCTGGCTAAAATCAACCATTTGTGTTTCCACCTCGTTCAGCCAACAGGCCGGAGAGGACAAGGGCCCATCAACCAAGGTCTGCAGAGTCAATGACTCTTCAGGCTCAGCAGTAGCAACCCAACCATTTGGAGCTCCTCAATATCCAGGAAGCGAAACAAAGTGAGTTGGTACTTTTCCCCATTTCGCCTTAAAGAAGCACAACTGACAGAAAAGGGTTTCCTTTACCATTGTGTCTTTCACCCCAATACTTGTCACACTCCCGTCCTTCTGCAACAACATCTGCTGCAGCAACGCTGGTAGACGGCTCACAAGCTGGCAGATCCTTCGGCTTCCCATCCTCCAAGTTCATGGTGTCCAGCTTATGCTGAGCAGCTTCCAAGTAGGCCTGGTAGCGCTTGTAGGCTTCACGTGCAGACAATGCCTGTGTTGGCAGTGCATGAGAGGAAGGGGCAAGATCCTTGACAGGACTGTCCGAGATCTCCACCAAAGGAGCGGCCCTGAGAGAATCCCATTCAGCCAACAGGTTTGGCCTGGAAGCAGCCCTGGCAAGTCTGCAATCAAACTCCAAGCGGTCCATGTTCTTGGCATCACCTCCATGACTGCACAAACCAGTTTCCACCGCTTCTGCACCAGAGCTTTCATTTGGGAGATCATGGGTGGTCTCAAGTCCCCCATAACCATCCTCAAGCATCTCGAGAGGGGTCATCTCGTCCTCAAGAGGGTTCATTTTGTCCTCAATGCTGTCCTCAACCTCTCCAGTCTTCATCTCACATTCCCCAGCTGAAGTTGAGTCGCCGTTCTCCTCCATGTGAGCCTGGCAGGGAAGGGCAAGGTGAGTTGATAAAAAGAACGCAATGAAAACCCTTTTCTGCTAAATGGGTGGGAGAGGTGGGTAACCAGTAACCAGTCACGCCTTTAACTGCTTCATGTAAGCTCCCTTGAGCACATCGAAGATGCTGGAAAGCTCTGATACCTTGAGCCACCGGATGGACGCAGTATACCCATGTCTTACCCATGTATAGCCCCCCACAACGCTAGGAAGTACGAACAGTTAAGAAAAAATGAACAAGCATTGGACGGTGAGCAAGTTGCCCTTGTGTTGGTGTACTTCATCACAGGCCCCCGAAATTGAGTCACCATTTTGTGAAGACTCCAAGCGTCATTGTACGCCCAAACTTTCATCCGCACATCTGACACAAGCTGGGCGTACACTGGATGCTGGCTGTAGTAGTGGAAAGTCATTTTGGAGATCACTTCGATTGGGTCAGCACCTAGCCGACCTCGGCGAGCCATGTCCTTTGCTAAACAAAGGATGACCTGCGAGTTGTGAATTGTGTTTGCTCTTGTTGGCAAGCACTCTGGTTCACCCTTCTTTTCTTCCTCCCCCTTCTCACTTTCCCGCTTCTCACTTCCCCCCTTCTTGACGTCAGCAGCTTCTATCAGCCGCCCCACCCTTTTCACACGCTCTTTCAGGATTGGACAGTCCCACCAATCCTCAGCAACCCTCTCAGGCTGGTCACAGGTGGGCCCATCTGGAAAACGCTTCCCAGGCATGGCTAGCGCACTGTTTGCTAAACCTTCCAAACTGAAAGATGCTAAAAGCATCTAAAAGCATGGGTAAAGGGTAGCGGACATGGTAGGATGACTCAACCCACGCTGTCACACACACACACACACACCGAACACAGAAGAAAAACAAAGGCAAGCTGTGCAAAAGCAGTGGAAAACACTAAGCGGCATCGTTCCTGAATGTCAAAAGTCTGACCTAGATATCAATCTCCGAACACCGAGTCAGGGGAACATCCGTGAGGATGAGGAGACATTGAAAAGAGTTGTCAACACTTCTCAGCTCATGGAAGCTCTTGCGATCCACCGAAAGCATGGTCACCCAAAGACCTGGCCTCCAGCTCAATGATCGTTGCGGTCTTTCGCGCCACCCACCACATGTGGCAGCAGCGGCAAATGCTTGTGACTGATACCCCCAGTCACGACCCCAAAACCCTTAAGTAGCACACACTTCCTTGCAGTGGCTCTTGGTGCAAACTGATTGAATTTGCTGTAGTGGTTCCATCAACTGAAAGCAATCACATAGTCTGTAATTAGTAATTATTTTTAATGCTATTTCTTGACATTCTCTTTCTTGAACTCCTCGAGATCGCAAGATTCTTGTGCATTTCTGCAGCCTTACCAAGAGCCTACTTTTTTTCTAGGCGAATGGCTTTTCTAGGCGAACCTAAAAAAAAGACATCGAACCAGGCTCCAGGTATTTGTTTGAAGCAATACGATTGATCGATGTTCATCTCTCGGCGGAGCTCCATGGAGCGAGGTGACCTGGAATGCCTGCATCACGGCGTGCAGCCAAGGGCAGAGTGCGCAGAACGCCTTGCAGATCTTCGAGGAGTTGGAAGCGGAAAAGACCACTTTAAGCACCGTTCCTTGGATGGGATGAAGCAATCAAGCAAGCACACTTCCATTCGTGTGGATGGGAATATTGGTTGGGAGTTGCCGGGATGTTTGGGAATTTCGATATCTAAGAGGAGGATCCTTGGCTTAGCATTGTTGATTGACTTGATCACATGTACAACAGGTTCCCCTCTGCTGTAGCATGAACTGCATGACATTTTGCAGCACCAGTTCGAATTTCTATGATCTTCTCATCATACGGATTCGGGCCCTAAACCACGCTTCCAGCTGATGGGCCAAATCGGGAGGCCCGACCTTCCACCGACCTTCGCCACGAGGCCGTGGTGAATGCGGCGCTGGCCGCGTGCGTTACGACGGCGGCCTGGGAGTTGGCGCTGCAGCTGTTCCAGCGACTGCAACGGGGATGGGATCTCCAGGTGCGGAGGGCGGAGGAAGAGCGCAGGATAGATGGAAGGTAGTAGACCTCAAGAAAAAACCGTTGTGTACGGTCATGGAGTCATGGTTGTGATCTGTTTTACAGATTGGTTGAATATGGTTGAATCGTGTTTTTGAATGGCCAAACCTAAGAAACATGCGGGGCAAGATCCTGCAAGCAACAGACATCTCCTGAAATCTCTCTTTCCGGGGTCTTGAAATTCTTCTGCTGTGAGTGTCTCCTCTCACCTTGACTGCAGGGCGCAGCCTTTGCAGATACCGTTTCCTTCAACACCACTGTGGCTGCGTGCGCTGCTGCTCAGGTGGGCGGCAGTCAGCCCATTGGCGGTGCTTTCGTGATGGTCGAGACAACCCATTAGCTGGTGGAAGTTGAAGATGGGCATTGACACCTGACCCTGATGTCTTTTGTCAAGAAAAGCAAGGGAGAATCTGATTTGTACACAAGTTTTGGACTATTTTGGACTATAATTCCTTTGTCCCTGTGTCTTCCTCTCCTGGCTGCAAGCAGCGTAGCTGCTCAAGAAAGATTCCGTTCTTCGTCATACAAAGGCATGAGTTCCGCAAATGGATGTCTTGCCATGCATGGCTATGAGGGCATGGTTGAACATGTAAAATTCTCACATTGGATTCACCTCGCCCCGCCTGTCAACCTTCGAAATTTGTTTTGTTCCAATTCTTCCCAAAACAACCAGAAAACCCTGAACAGCATTTGGGTCTAATAGTTCTTCTTCCATTCTCTCCAAGAATCTTAGAAATATAGTTCTCCCATGTAATTGCCCCCCTACCAGGCTTGGGAGATGGCACTCTCCCTTGCCAACGACCACGGCGACCCTTTGGACGAGATCTCTTTGGGTGCAGCCCTTGCTGCCCTGCGCGACCGATGGAAGGAGCGCTTCCGACTCGCGCCCAGCGCTTTCGGGCATAGTTCATCTCAAGATCTGGGAGATCCTATAGATACCAAGGTCTCCCAGATACTATAAAGCGATACTAAAGCTATATCCAAAGGTCTTAAGTATAGATTGCCTTGAGTATACTAGGGTCCTAGCTTGCAAAAACTATAGTTCAATGTCTACCATTCTTTTGCCGGCCACGACCGGCCCGCCCTTCTGCTACAGCAGCAGCTTCAACGTCACGTGCGCCTCGATCCGTTTTGCCGCCGGTCAGTGCTGGATTCGATTGACATTCGATTGGAATGAATGGAGTTGCAAGTTTGGACTTGAAGTCCCAACTGGACAAATTCATGCTTTAGATGTAAACATCTGTGAAAACATGTGTGTGTGTGTGTTCATCCTTTGGATCGGTGTATTGATGCAGCGAGCCATGAGCAGCTCAGACACCGATTCCTCACAAGCCGTCGAATCGGTTCCAAAGGCCGGCGACGCGATGTACTTGGTGCGTGAATTTCAAGCGCAGTCGACGATCTTTGGGAAGATGTCGGTGGTCATCTATGGTTTTATCATCATCTTTGGTGGCTTCACCACCATCTTGGGGATGGTGGCACCGATTCTTTCGGCTGATTGCATGGCAGCACCCTTTCTTTCAAACAACAGTGAGCGAGAAGCAGATCAACTGATTTGGTTTAAAGCCATGGGCCGTATGTGCGGAGCTCTGGGCACCATCTTTCTCTTGGCAGTTTACATGCTGGGACATTCGCTGAAATCCTTGCTGCTCTTGCTCTTGTGGGGATGGCTGAATTTCATGAACTTTGCTTTCGTGATCCCGGCGGACCTTCGTGCGGATGGTGGATCCAAGGAGACCGAGACCTGCATGCGGAACGTGAGGGTGCAGGTGGGAGGCTTTGCGGTTTTAGAGGCCGTGGCAGTGCTCTTCGCTTGGTTGGAAGAGAGGTCCAAACCTGGTGATTCCAGAATGGAGCCCCTCAACGCCTAGAGGATGGACTGACTGGGGGAAAGAATCATCCCCACAGTCTTCGGGTTCAGACCACGTGGCGAGGAGATGTGGGGCATTTTTACTGCTTTTCTGCCCTGTTTGGAAGAGACTTTGGAGCCAAGTTTTTGGAACCAAAGTGTGTGGAATCTCTCGACGACATAGAAGAACTGTGTTGTCTTGGAAGCCGGATTTTCGAGATAGCAGATGCCCGGCACAAAACACATGCAAGTTGCCGTGTTATTGAGCTGCACTGAAGCGTGTCACGGCCAGTCAAGGCCCGCTGTTCATGGGCTGTGGAAGTTTTGTTCAGGACATTATTGTACGTTGCTGCGTACTTGGATGTTGTTGAACAAGAGCATTGTTGTTGAACAAGAAGCAACATGAGCAATTCTGAGCAATCATGAGTCTTTGTCATCGGTTCCATGTTCGTCTCCTTTTTTCGGGTACGATGTTACTGGAAACTTCACCTGGAAGAGGTCAGCATAGAGCAGAGGCTTTGCCATGCCAAAGGCACTGGAAGAAGCACTCGAGACAAGCGGGTGACCCAAAGACTGCCAAGAGTCCACTGCCAAGAGGCTACGATGAGACTCTTCATTTGATGATGTTTGACCAATGCTGAGACTCCATTCATCATCAAATATCCATGACATCCCGTATGGAGCCAGGCCAGAGGTTGTTTTCTTTGTCCCTCCCCCCCAAGGTCCCGGGGAGACCCAAATAAAACATCGAAGACACAAAGACAGCATACGATCCCACTGTACTCATCATACGATTTCCACCTCATCACTCCGGTACACCATGCCATGCCGCGGCTTAGCAGAAACTCACCGCAGGAGGTCTTGGAGCTCCTCGGCCGCGAGTCCGTGGCGTCGTCGTCGGCCGTGCGGCGCGCCTTGATTTCAGCGGGGCAGCAGCCCAGCCGGTCCGAAAAAGGGGGAGGCGAAGTGAAGCGAAGGCCTAAGAAGCTGTTGGAGCGAGTTTTCGGGTTGGAGCCTGATGGATCAGCGGCCCACAATGTGAGCGACTGTGAGGATGTGTCAGGCCCAATTTTTTAGATGGATCAGCGCTGATTTTTTGAATGTTTGGATACCAATTTTGATGCTATCAGCACAAGAACGCAGCAGAGGTCGTTCTTTTCTGACATAACAAAATAACTGTAACACATGTCATGTGTGCAGTATAGATCCTATATATAGTGATCTTAGATCTTATCATCCCAAAGCAGACACCATGCAGACACCAGCCCCAAATAGAAATCAAAGAGGATGGCAGAGGACCGGCTGCTCCACCGACTGCTCCACCCAGCGCCCGACTTCTCACCATGGCTCCTCCGATCGCCTCGAATTGGGCGCTGCTGGGCCTTGGCCGTGCGCCGGCGCCTGGAGTCGATGCGTGTAGCGCACCGAAGGCACCGGTTTCGGCGGCGTTTTCGGCGGGCGCAGCAGGTGAAAGGATGGTGAAAGAGATAGAGAGAGGGGAAACACAATAAAGAAAAAGATAATGTTTCCAATTTCCAACTGTTACATAACTTTCTTAGTGTATGCTTTCTGAGACTCCTGACTCCTGACTAAAGAAACAACAGTTCTCGAAAACTGTCACCCTCCGAGTGACAGATGGATTATAGAGATCTCCACCTACCTTGCAGTCCAAGGGCGAGCGTTTAAGCACTTTATCACATTTTCTTCCCTCTCCTTTCCTTCTCTCCTAGCCTCTGCTTTGCTCATCTCTTCTCTCTTCTCTCTTTTATCCTTTTGACTTTCTGTTGATGTTTCTTCTCGTTACTTCTTCTGACTGCCTCCCTCTCGTCCTTTTCTTGCAGGTGACCAAGAAGAGACCTTTGGTGACCAGACCGAAGACGAGCCGGACCAAAAAGGCGCGGAAGAAGAGTCAGACGACCTCCTTGGCGTCCATGATCCTTGGCGTCCGAAGCCACCCGCTCGCTGTTCAACCCCCACACGGTCCCTCGCTCAGTCCCGACCGAAAGACACAGACACAGCGGATGTCAGGAGTGAAAGACTGTATGCTACGGGTTTTTGTCTTTTTTTTTTTCAGAAGGCGTCGCAACACATCGAAGCTGTCATTTTATGAGATGCAAGTTGGCGGAAGCTCCTCAGAAAGCTAGATAGATCGTTTGTCTCATTAATGTTCCATTCAGTTTGAGAAGCAGCTTGCGTTTCTTCCGGTCGTTTGCGATCGACCGAGGATTCAGCTGGAATTGAGACGCTGGGATATCATGGACACTCGAAACACATTTCATCGTGTAGTAGTTTTCTATTCTTCAGACCGAGAGACCTACTAAACTCAACAACCTTTTGCGTTGTACTGGACATCTTATAGCTTTCGTTTTTCCTGCAGGACAACTGAGCCAACATATCATTGAACACAAACAAACCAGCCTAAAACGCTCAAAGGGGCGGGGACTGCAAACGACTGCAACTCTTGAGATGAGCAAGGACCGTTTGCTGGAGACCTATGACCAGCACGTGTCACCGGTGCTGGGTGGCAACGACACGGGGCGCCAGCAGCAGAAGCGGAGGCGGCACTTGGAAGCTTGGACGCTTGGACGACGCCATGCGAAAACACAGGGGTGACGTGACGTAACCAAAAAGAAAAGGACGGTGCAAACAGATAACATATGCAAAACACATGGATGTATGATGTATGTGATAACTTTTAGCCGACAGGTTTGGGTCATCACTTGGTAATCCTGTACTCTGGTGCACACTGAAAGATTGAAAAGACATGAAGATGCTGGGGTGACTTGAAATTCAGCCGATGGCCTAAGTGTTTGTGGGTGAAGACAAGGTTCTTTCAAATTGAACGGTTCTGAATATGGGAACCGCGATGGATACTGCATGCACCTGAAAGTCTTTTAACACATTTGGTTGTTCTTTGAGTTCCAAAACACGAAACAGAGAGAATCACGGTATAAAATCTCGTTTTGTTTTTGCATACATTCCTTTGAACAGTTTTGGGAGCTCAAAACCTTCCTTTGAGCAGTCCTCCGAGTCCGCCCTCCCTCCAAAGGCTCTGGTCGCGCGCGTTTGCTCCGCTGCTGCCCCTCGAGCCGCCCACCGCCGCAGCGATCGCGCAGGGCGACGCCGCGCTGCGGCAGAAGTTGTGCAATGCGGGTCTCAGCAAGAAGGCAGGGAGGATCATGGTCCATGGTGCGTTTCCATGTCAGTGTTGGGAGTGTTTTGTTTCCGCAAACAAAAGGGTACTCGGAAAGCGTCGCCAATTGTATGAATCATAAGCCGGATGAAGCTGGGGGTCCCCCCAAAGGCATGGAATCTGATTCGTTGTGAGATTCCTCAATGTGTTTGATTCCCTATGTGTGTTTGTGTTTGATGTCTTGCCCTCCACGTCCTCGTGTCCGATCTGTCCCATGCGTCCGATGGGCGCCCCAGGAGGCGAAGCGCCGCCTCCAGCAGCTGGCGCGGGTCCTGTCCGGCGACGTGGCTGTGGCCGAGGGCGCGGAGGACGCGGAGGACGGGGCCGAGGTGGCGGTGGTTTCGGAAAGCCACAAGACGCTTGGGCAGCAGCTGGTTGGATGGAAGAACACATATCACGGTACATAAAGAGGCTATAAACTGTAAACTTGAAAACACTTGAAAGCTATTTTATACTATTATACCATTATTTGCAGTGTTATTTGTTTGTGTGTGTTGCTTCTTATGACTAATTCGTAGGGCCTATGATACAGGGTCGCACGTATGTATGCGTTGATGTTAGCACTGGATGAATCTTGAGGATCAATGCTCACTTCGGCTAACGATCAGTGCTCACTTATAGATTTCCGAGGATGACTTTACGCTGTGGCAAGCGGAGTGTCAAAGTGCTTCCGGAGTATTTCTCCAAGTTGAAGAAGCTGCATGATCGGCGAGGCAAATTCCACCAGGCAGATGGACTGATGCACAGACTTGCATTGAGCTGTAGGGGACTGCAGTGGCTTTAGACTGCAAGTATGACGTGCTTGTAGCTCATGTTGTGTGTATATTGTCGCATGATTAGCCATTGCTATTGCTCAGATGTTGAGCCCGATGTTCAAATCTGGAGCTGACTTCCGCTTGGTTTGCAAGAGAAGATGTCTGAGGCAGCTTTCCTAGTGCTGGCGAGATACCGCATCTTGCAAGTGCATGAGAAAGGTCAGGGTTTGTCAAAAGAGTGTCTCCATGGCACAGTTGCTTGAAGGCAACCTTCCTATAGAGACCCTTAAATACATGGTTCTTTCTTGACACACACCGAACTCCTTTTTTGGTTTCTTTTTCGATTAGAGGCCTGGCTCCTTTGAATCTGACTCCAAATGCTGAAAACACCTGGGCCTTCGTTGCCCATCGGCTGGACTTTCTTCATCCTTCCGCCCCGTCTCCTCCTTCCCCAGGTGGTGGCAACCAGGGCGCCATTCCGGCCGCGGTCTTCGCGGCCTTGCGAGACTGGGCCAAGCCCATCGAGCCCATTGAAGCCTTTGCTTCGCCTTTGAAGCCAAGCCGAAGAAGGAAACTTTTTGTCAGTAGAGGTTGGCTTCAATCAAACAATTGAAAGCTTTGCAGCCAAGCCAGCTTTTATCAGTTGAAGTTGGCTCTTCAATAAAGCCCTTTGCAGCCAAGGCAGTTATGTAGAGGTTGAACTGCACTGCACTACACCATATACAGGGTGTTCAACCTTGACTGAATATTTCATGCATGTTTCATTCAAAGAAATGTGGACAACTCTTTGAAGATCCATGTTTGGGTTCCAATGACATGGTTCCATATTATGGTACCAAACATACCTTCATGAATCATCACATCAGAACGATCCCAATTGTCCGGGTATCCAAACTTTGAGTCCGTCAACCCTTGAGCGGCATGAACGTCATAGGATCTTCAATGAACAGGATTTGAAACTGAAATATGTTCCATGATGTTTTTATTCAATAAAAAACAAGACAAAAACATACTTCAGCAGGCTTCCGGGGGTGTTGGATGTCAAAAGTTCAGGGGGTACGGCACTCTCAAGAGATCTCCATTTGGAACGGATCCATGCGCCACATGGAGCGCAGCTGTTCTGAGGAACACATTGGCTGGACAAGGACTCCTGCCCGCATGAGATTGCATGAGATATCATGAGATCAAGGAGTCACGGGAAGCAATGAAGAGGGGGCCGTTTGAAGTCTTCGATTGTTTGCCAGGTCTGAAAGAAGATCGAAGTGTTCCACGCGGCGCGCGCAGCTTTTTGAGGAACCAACGCGAAGCAATCAAATTGGGCCCGCCTTAAGGTCCCCCATCTTACTTACAAGCATTCCCTTCAGGTCAATTTGTTTAGATAGAAAAGGCTCCGGTGGCCGTACGCTGCCAAGGCTCTCGTGACACAATGGACCGGACCTCGCGCGGGACCGGACGAATGTCCATCACCCAGGAGGTTATCACAGCGCCTTCGGCGACACGGACGGTTTCTTTGGCTCCAGAGGGTCCTTCTTCGAGTCCCAGATCCAGGAAGGCCTGGCGCCAACTCCACGGCATGCAAGCAGCTGTTTCTTCGATGCATAATTCATGTGATTCGCCAATAAGTCAAGACTTGATGTTTCCTTTGAAGGTCAGTGTTCCTTTGGTTTGGAAGTCGGCGTTCATTCCATCTCGTAGTAAGTTCAGTGCAAATCAATCAGCTGAAGCCAGACAAGTTCTGGGCCGTTCGAGATCACAAACACCATGTTGTTTCCCATTTGCTCCTTCACTATTATATGATGCACCCTCCCCACTTAAGTACCTCCTTGCTTCCTCGCTTTCCTTTTCACCTCACCGGAAAACCCCTCCCTTCGACAGGTGTGGTGGAAGTGAATCCTCCCTTCGACGAAGCTCTCGTGCTACGCACCGCCGACGTCTGCCAACGTCGCCTGGAAGCCGCCGCAGCCGGACGCTTCGGCGCACGAAAAACGACCTCCGCCGAAGACGTGCCCGATTGAGGATCACATCGTGGTTTTGTTAAGGGCCCATGCACTAAATAGTTATTCCAAGGGCCCCCATTATCCCATGCACATCGGGTTTTTGTTCAGGTTTTTCTTTTTTATTCGTTGAGAAGTGCAAGACATGTTGAACCGAATTGGCTGAGGAAAGAAGGCCTTGGTGTTCCTGATCATCATCCCAGAGACTGCCTCTCAGCCAGGTTTTGATGACCTTTTCTGGGCACCTTCATTAGCTTCATTTGTTCAAAGTCCAAACAATGAACCCACCAGGCATGGCAGGCAGGTAGTCCGCAGGCAGCCAGCACACGACTTGGCAGTCACAGGCCGAAGAGCACTCTATACCTTCACCTCAACACTTCCGTACTCGCAAATCCTCTCGAAGCCGGTTTCGCAGTGAGGATTGGCCGGGTCATCGAGCCTTTGAGGAGTCGAAGTTCAAGAAGTGGTCCTTGTCCCTGCCGAGCGGACATCATTTCTACCAAGTTGGAGACTTGGCCATACTTTCTCTTGCATGTCATTTTGCTCAGGTGCGAGAAGAGATGTCATCTCATTACATTGATTGAACAGATTTGACACATTGGAAGCGTTGCAGAGAGAAGTATCTCTTCGACTGATTGGTAAATCTTGAGCTGAACAGTTCGCCCTTTCTTTTGCAGAGATTGGTGGGTTCGAGCTCTCTTGCCACGTTCTCCCATTTTCGCCTTCCACTGCGCCATGCGCTGCTCTCACTTGGCAAAGTTCTTGGTGGCAGGGGCGCTGATTTGGTATCTGTCTGGAACCCGAACGGAGCCTTGGGCTTTATTCAGTTTTCTCAAGGATTTTACTTGGGTAGAGGTCAAAGCTAAGCAAGATGGTTTTCTAGGTAAGAAAGACACACGATTGCAGCCACCGAGTCGAGCTCTACTTCTCGGTTGTTTTTGCGTTTCTTTTTGTTTGAACGGATCACACGAATTGGGCAACTCAGGAGAAGTGGCCTGTGCCATCAAGCTCGCCACGGCAGCTGGCACAGAAACCTTCCCCAAGTTCGACCAGTGAGGCCCGTACATGTCAATTTCAGTGAGTGAGGGACAACACGGTCACAATTGTGTGTGTTTCCCATGATGCGGTATATAGTTACAAGCGTTGCTAGTGACATGGGCACGGCACTATTTGTTTTGCTCGCTTTTGCTGTTGATTTATGGTGTGTGTGTGTTTTGAGATGTCGTGCTGATAGACTGCTGCTTGTTTGTTGAGAGACATACGTCTGACACCCAGATGTTCGATTGCAGGCAGAGAACCTGAACCTCGAGGTGAACGCTTCGCAGAACCGTGACCTCGATGTGAACGCTTCGCAGAAGCTTCTGGAGCAATGGCGTCCCTTTTGGAGCCAATCCATTCGAGACCTGCTCCATGAAGGGTTTGAAGTGGTCAGGAATTCGAAAGCATTGGATGCACAGAGCAGGTCAAGCAACGTCAAGGAAACGTGTGAAGAGCTGCTCGAACAAGAGAAGTACGTCGAAGCCTTCTCACCTTGGTGCCAATATGAATTGCCAGAGTCCCAAAGATGCTTTGACATCATGGACCGTGGCACATCCATTTGGCTTCTGGGCTCGATGCTACGAGACTGCATCAAGGATCCGACGGCTTGGAGCCAGACATGGCAGGTCCGGCGATGGGGCGGGCTGCTGATGCCGGTTGGTCCAACTATAAGCCATCTCTCACGCACACAAACTAGTAGCCAGACTAGCGTCTATAAGGGGTGATTTGGCAACGTAGAGCCTAGGACTTCTTTCTAGACCATTTCATCAGCAAAACGGCGTCTAAGAAGTGAAGCAGGCCAAAACCTTTGGAGGCCCATGGCGGTGCCCCGAACAACAGCATCCACTCAGTGAAGCACAACCTGCTTTTCACCTTGCAAACAACATGTGAAGCAAATTATATTTGGTGCAACAGCTGTGTCACTGCTTCTTTCCCAGACACTGCAGATACCTTTTTAGGTTGCCCCTCTGTCGTCCATCACCGGCGCTGCCTCAAGATGTTATCCGTTAAATTTTTCAAGCTAGCTTCATCAACCCCAGCGAATGGTCGGCTGACATTTCCTCACAACAAAGCTTTCCATCCGCAATCCTTTTCATCGAGCCATGCAGCCATAAACTCGTCGAATGTGCAATCCTTCCATCCTTTCCTTCTCTCTTTCAATTTTTACACCCACGTGCCCCATGTGTAGCAAACTGTTTCCTATGTGTTTGCACAGCATGCTTCAGCGGCTTCAGCGTGTCCAGTGTTTTCGTTGTCGAACACCATCATTGTTTGATCGTTTTGCTGCATGAGTTGAAAAGCGTTACATGGTGCATGTCGGCAGTAGCGTTTCTGTTCTCAGGCCATTCCATTGGAATGTGGATTCTTGAGATTCCAAAGGATGATTTTTTAGAGTCCGGGGTAACCTCTCCAAGACTCACAGATCTTTGTTGGATTGCGAATGCGACTCCCATGCCGGTTTGTAGCTTGTGAGACATCAGGCTAAAAGAAAGCGAATCAGTTTCTCGGGGATGCGACCTGGGAATTGGAATCTGTTCGGCATTCATTGCATTCATTTTTGATCCATTTGCTGCTAGCTTCTATAAGAACATCGGAGACCCTCCCCCCTATGTGAGGGGACGCTCTACACTCCTACTGGCCTTCGTTTCCCCGCTCTCAGGTAGCCCTGCATCAAGGGCTGTCACTTGAACCATTTCGAGCCAGAGGAACCTACCAAAAATCGAATCTGGACAAAGGCTCGTTGGAGACCTAGTGGCAGGGACCTTTTCAAAGTCCAGCCTTTTTTATCAGGCCAGCCGCTATGGCTCCAAATCTAGCCGCATATATTTCACGCCCTTTTGCGCAAGTAGAAGCGCGTCGCACATTTGTTAAAATTGCACAGAGATCCGCAGAGGCATCTCAAAATTCTACAAAAGGTTGCAAGAGCCCTTCTTGCAGGCGCTTCTGATGATATATTGTGTCACTTTGCACCAAACAAACAGCGTCAAGTCTGCCAGTAAAAACTATTGTGGCTGCTTGCTTGCGAGCGAAGAAGAGAGCGGAGTCACAACAAGTGATCAACAGCCTCAAATATTGATACTTAATGCCATCATGCATGGACAGCAGGTTCGGTGGTGTTCTGACAGCTCTGTGAAGCAGGTTCTGACAGAGTTTTTCGCTGCCAAATCTGAGATTGTTGGGAGACCTCAAGCGCCTCCCTGCTGTTGTTGCTGTTCCGGCTGTAATTGCTGCGCATTGCTGCAGGCTGTCCAACCTTTGATCGCAAATGAATGAATGAGTTCAGGTCCTGCACTGCACTGAAGATTCCTGCACTGAAATCGCTTGAAGATTCCTGCACCGCACTCATGACATCTCAACATGGCAGGCCTGCCGTCAGCAGATGGACTTGGCCTTGCCTTTCGAGAAGATGGATTTGGCAGGTGCTGAGGCATTACAGATGGCTTGTGTCACTTGGCCGGAGCAGATTTGTTTTTAATAGTGGAAAATAGCACGTGATATTCATGATTATCCTGGAGATTCCGACAGCCCAATTGGTTGAACCATGCAGTAAACGAGTGGATTTTCGAAAGTGCTCGGCACGTGCATCAGGTGCGTAGTTGCCATGACACGTCTTCATCGGACTGCCCACAGAAGTTTGGACCCTTGGGCCTTCAAGAGAGCAAGGAGGACGAAGAGTTTGGGAAGAGATTTATCCAATGTGACCGCCTTTTGTTCAACTTTACTGGCTACGATCGATCCAGGCTCCAGGGTGAAGAAAGTCTGTTTGCAGTGGAGCATTCCTTCCATCCTATACAATAAGTGGATCTAGAAACGCTCTCAAGTCAAATTCCAAAGTCAAACTGAGTGGACATGAGCGGAATTGAGTGCTGTCATCTCATGTTTGTGTTTGAAAATAATATATACAAAGTTCAACTCCTAACCGGGAGTTGCACAGGCACAGTGATCCAGAAGTTCCCCTCAGTGAGTGGATCTCTGGTGGCTATTGTGGAGCAGATTATGCGGTTCCTCTTTGTTCATTTCATTTCAACGTCAGAGGCATCGAGATCGCCTCCGAGGTGGACAAGGATGCTCGCTTGACCACTCGGTACCACTACGACCATTTCGTGTACGGGGACTTTTGCACAACCAACGATGCAGGATTGAATGTGACCCAGCCGTTTTTCAAGAAGCTTGACGATGACTTTCAGGGGGATCCCAATGACATTATAAGATACTTTGGTTGGAGGTGGGGTCTGGAGGTTGCGGGTGTCCTTCATCGAGCCATCGACCAATTTCTGCACTACAACGACAGTTCAGTGCCAGAGGTCTACCCAGGATGGCATGGATGCCAGAACATCATCGACCATGGGATCCAATCGGCAAGCACCGACGAATCGGACGTCCAGTCCTGCAAAGATGTTTGCAACGCCAATTTGCATTCAGCTTATTGGCAATTGTTAGTCGTTCCCTTCCTTTCCCGCCAATGGACTCTCGGAACCTGGCAGATCTCCGGACCTCTTTTTCTCCTTTTTCTCCTTGGTTGCCTAGTGATTGTCATCATTTTTAGGTGGATTTTGGAGAGATGCCAGAGCGCACTGGACCGAATGGAAGATGCTGAAGGTCCTGGTGGACGTGGAGCACAAGTGTGCATCTGTTTGATGATGTGCTTCGTTGTCGTTGTCGTTGGAGCCTTGATGTTCTCAATCTTGATGGTTTCAATTCTGACTGTCATTTTAATTTGTGCTGCTTGTGTTCTCTTGGAGTTTCTGCTGCGGATTGCCTCTGGGCACGGCACAGCTTGGGTGTGCTTGAAAACATACCTCTTTTGGGAAGCAGCAGACGTTCGATGGCAGTACACTGCCGGGGCCGTTGGCCTGATGACAGCAACAATCTTGGGTAGTTGCTGCTACTCCAGCAAGGCTTCAGGTGCTTCAGATTCTTCAGATGCTGGTTCTGCAAAGAGTGCTGTGCGCCATCTTCTTTGTGCTCAGTTTCTTTGCATTTTGCTTCCCTGCCTTGCCATGTTAGTGCTTGAGAAGTTGGGGTGGATGCTGCCATGGTATGCCATGCTGCCGCAGTACGCTACCGACATCGAGCCCTACATCGCGGCACTTTGCACATTCCTTTTGGGCCTCAGCGTTTTTCTCGTATCTGAGTGGTGCCTGGGGCACTACCCTTCTGATATCATGAAAGCAGTCCAAGAGATGCATGGCAAAGGAATGGTATTTGACATTTTCATGGACAACTCTCAGGCCTTTGGCTTCTACCTGATGGGTCAACCATACTTCGCCCTTGCCCAAGTCTCGGGCGTTCTCGGCAACGGATTCATGACCATCGTTGCGCCAAAGTTGGAATTCTCAACTTTGACAAGAATTATGGCTGTGCCGTCAACAATAGCGGCTTTGTTGTTTCCCATTCTGGGTGCGGTTCTGGGTGCGGTTCTGAGTGGGTTTGGTTTGATTCACTTCGGACCCTTCGGACTCGCCTTTGGCCCTCCTTGGCTTAGCCCTTTGGAGTCCGGGTTTGCAGTTGGTGGACTCATTGGAGTGGCCTATGGATTGGTGGTGTTTCTAGGTCCGTTCCTCCTCATCACCATAGCTGCCACACGCAGGAACTTCCGAGAGTTTTTGCTAGCTGTCGTCCAAGCCGATTTGTTCCCATTGATCTGGAAATGTCATGGGGAGCCGGAATCCCAAGAGCTTCTTTTCAAGAAAGCTGCGGAGGCTAGCGGAGAGGGCACCTTGAGCCTCTTAGTTGGCTTGACAGCCTTGTTCAAGGCCAGATTGGGAAACGGCAGTAGCTCACTGTTGGCTCTTTTCCAGCTCTTGGCCAATGTCCTATACACCAGCTACACACTGTCGGAAGGCCTTGTCAAAGGAGAACTGGCACAAGCCGCGGACCTGTGTGAGCACAGGATTAGGACCTTTGCCAAGAAGACCTCAAGAGCCGAGACGTTCTACCAACGATGCGTTGTCCGCTTCCGAGGATTGTTTCCAATCGGTGATTGTGTCGTCAAAGGACGACTGATAGGAGAAGACAGAGCCTCACGAGAGACATATCTACGGCGCAGGTGTGAAGGCCTAGCACTCCTGCGCGCATCAGAGGTCTTAGCAACAACAGTGGCCTTCGTGTTGATGGCATCCTCCTTCAATTTTCTGAAAGCTGGAACATTTTTCTGTGGTTGCGGTGCAGTTTTTTCAGTGCTGAGCACGTTGGTCTTGGGCAACCGCTTCACGTGGTCGCTTCTCCTGCCATTTACACCCGGACAAGCGCCTGCAACAATGCCAACCAGCGGACAGTTTGAGGTTGAGATTGTCAGCCGCCTTGCGACATCCCTGCTAGCATGGTTGGCTATGCTTTCGGCATGGCCCTTTGGACGGGGAGCTTACGGCTTTCTTGAGAAAGTAAAGCAAGCTGCCACCCGGCACAAATCAACAGGAACAGCAGAGTTATGGCAGGCCTACATCATCCTCCTCGGTATCAGCTTCGGGTTCCTTGCCTGGCCCATTTGCGCTTGGTCGACGTGGAAAGTGATCCAAAACCGGCAAGAATGGTTTGCAGAAGACTCGGCGCGCTTCTCAGCCCTCGCTGCAATTGACCCGTCGATGTGGACTCAGGATACGACACTGTCGAGTCTGATTGGTCCGGACGGAGCTCCGATCATGGAGCATCTCGACTCTGCCGAAGATGACGATGATGAACGTTCCAGGATGCTGGACTGCCTCAAGTTCAGCGAGGCTGAAATCGAGTATGTCAAGACCTTCCAGAACAGCATCCGCGTGCATGAACCTGCAGGGTTCTTGGGTGAGCAATTTGAGCATTTCTTTCAACTGCGGTTTGATACAGTTGTGGGCAATTACTGGCATGACCATGATGTTGCTGTATAGGAGTCAACATCTGTATGCTTTACAAAGATTATACTAGCTTCCTATGTTTCTGAATTGGGCCTGAGAAAGGAGGCCACAAAATGCCGATAAATCATCCTGTAATTGTATAATTAGTCTTACCATTTGCTGTAAAGTTGAAAAAGGCATCCATCCCTAGAAAGGGCAATCAACCAAGGCCTCCAGCGCCCCAAGCAGAATCGAGCGCAATAGTCTATCCGCAGTGGCAATTGGCACTTGCTGAGCCCTTGGCCTTAGAGCATGGCAGCTCTGTGGAGCTTACCCAGTCCATCGTCGGCTTTCAGGAGACTGAATGGACCAAAATCCTAAAGCAATGCCCGTGCCTTCTACCTCCTCAACTTTCTTGGCACTTGCTGGGTTCGAAGGCGCAACCCATTATGTTGAAGGAATTTGCTGGTGAGTTGGAGGAAGGAGTGTCCCACTTCAAGATCATTATCATCGGCGGTCAGTTCATGTTCGGAACTGGGCGGTGGAAAGATGGCAAACCCCGCCTTGGGATGCGTGGAAGTTGGTCCAATACATCCACCATGAGCTGGACATTTTTCAACCTGGACACCAAGTCTCTTGAATTTGAAGACATCCTACACGCATTGGTGAACACGGAGAAGGAAATGGTGCTGAAGTTGCAGTGGAGCCAGCTGCCTGGTCGCAGCCACGGATGCGTCATCGGCCAAGAACACATTTTCCACGAAATCAGTCCAAAGAAGCCTGAACAAGTTGAACAAGTGCCAACACAAGCAGAGACTCGTTCATTCATTTACGTTCCCAAAGGCGGACGCTTTCTGGACGGACAGGCGCTGCAGACGGGGCGGGAGACCTCCGAGTTGCGGGAGAAGTTCCAACTCTTTGACGTCCAGCTCTTGGAGAATTCCGACCAAAAGCCGCTTCCATGGGCATTGGATCCTAAGGATCCATGGCACTTCATCCATGTCAAAGCAAAGGACTGGGATCAAGTTCCGCCGGAACCTGGAACTTGCTCTTGTTTGTGTGATTGGTGCTTTCCCACAAGGTTAGCAGGTTATAGCAGTCTCTCTCAAGATCCTGACTCAGATGATCGAACTGTGCAGCGGATGCCGAATGACTGAACAGCAATTCGACTTGCATGTTCTCCATGCTCAAGTATCCAATGAACTTGTGCTCAGGAGATGGATAATAGCATTTGACAGTTTCACAGCTTTGCTTGCACCCGACTTGCAATGGAAACAATGAGCACTCGATGAAACCAGCACGGTGCTTTAGTGATCTCGCGGAGCAGAAGAGGTTCTTCCTCTTCATAGCAGCAATTAGGAGAGGCATTGCCGGAGCAAAATGTGTGCCCAGAGAATAGTGTGCTTTCGCAGAAATAGACACATGTTGGAAAAGGTCGCTTTCTCCTTTCACTCTTGGAAGTGGAAACCTCTTTCTGATAAGAATACAAAACGTTTCTCACAAATAGTAGAGTCTTAATCATATCGTCGTCCTTCCTGCGCCTGAGGAAATCAACATGTGAACCATCAACGCACCTACCCGGCTTCGCGCAACACCACGGTGCTGCTCTTGGCCTCGAAGACGAGCTTCGCCGACCCGTGGGATCTGCGTCAGAAGATTGATGAAGCTTTCCGACGACCGTGAGCACATGCAGTGATCTCCGATCCGTGGAGTAGGTGGCTTTGGTCTCTTTTGGCCTCTTTTGGAGAGTGGAGAACATCTATATCTTCTCGGCTTGGCTCCAAGCAACCGTTTAGCTGAGAGAGATTCCATTCCTCAGCAGGCAGTAATGTCTCGTGATTCTCTCGTGTTTCCTGTTGCGCATGAAGAAGGACATCCCGATGGAACTGAAGGAATTTGCAGTAACTCCTCTCCGATGCCAGGAGGCTGACACTGACGGTTCAGAGCTTTGTGGCTAGCTCACCTGGCCTGTTGACGATGAAGACGATGAAGACATATAGGCCGAAGAACGCGAAGAGTGAGTTTTTCGCAGTCCCTGCTGGCTGAATTGGAGGCACGAGTTCTGCAAGTTCCCTGGCTACTGCCCCATCTCTCGACGGCCTGGTTGTGCAACGTGTGGAAAAACACACACTGCCGGCTCTCATGTCACTTGTCACTGGTTCTTGTTGTTTTTCGTCCAGTATGCGATGCCTCTATTCCGCACTTTTGGCATCTGCAGCCAATGTAGCATCACAACCGAAACTTGAGACCTCAGCACCTCTGCTGAAGTTTCTTTGAGAAGTCTTCCGACAGCTATGACTATAGTCAAGTTGTTTCTCTCTTAGAGCAAAACCATCCCAAACCATCCTGGACAATTTGATGGTTTAAAATGATTTATAGATGAACACTTGGTTTTGAATTCCAGTCCAGCCAAGCTGAGCCTTTCTTCGACTTGGGTCCGACCTGATGCATGCGGTGTAGAGTGACACGGGTCCGGACTGGCTTCGCCATGGTTTCCATCACCGCCGCAGTGCTGCTGGTGTTATTTCCTTTGAAGAGTCTAGCGCTTCATGCCAGGAATGAGGTCAAACATGCAGGTCAAGCAGGAGAGGGTTGAAGAATTGTTGGTGCTGGTGTTTTGGCGATTGGAACCTGGTGGGAGGGTGATGGATAGGTTTTGAGAGGAGTCTTCCACATAGACAGAGGTGAGCCACTTGAAGGAAGAGACCTGCGCAGGGATCCCACTAGATCCCACCCAACCAGTTCTCATGTGTCTTTTTTCTCTATCTCACATGCACCATGAAGTATAGGGTGAAGAAGTGTGTGAAGATTGTTCACTCGATCCATATAAAACTAAAAAGGCAACCAAAGAGCGGGAAATTGAAAAGACATTAAAGAAAAATGAAGAAACACAAAAGCCGCGCAGGAATTCCCTGGGACTTGCAGAACAAGTTGCCTCCCTGGATGACCTCCATTACCGAAGGCTCCCACCAAGCGGTTGCCGTGCTGCTGGGGCAGTCGCTGAAGCCGGATGGCTCGGCTCCACAGGTTCTGCTGGATCGGGCTCATATGGCGAAGAAGCTCCTGGATGAAGGCGCCCAAATAAGCAACAAAAAGGACTTAATATTATGCCACAAAGATTAACAAACAACCTGACCGGCCTTGGTGTTGTTCCTTTTTTTGGACACAATAATGTTTTCGGAGGTCATCGATGTCATTTCCTTCAGCTCATTTTTGTGAAGGGCTGATTCATACTGATTCACATTATGTTGTTATTTACATGTGTTTTTTCGATCACATTTCTGTGAGGTACCGTGGTCAAGGTGATCGTCTCCGGTGCGGATCCCGCCGGTGTGGGCCACACCGAAGCCTCGTTGACGGCCCACGTCCTGACGCAGGTGGGGGTGCCCTTGGACGCCATCCTACAGGAGTCGCAGGCCACGACCACGGCGGAGAACGCGTGGTTCATGTTGCGGTGGATCCCGAAGAACACCGGCCGAGTGGTGATCATCACCTCGGACTTCCACATGGCGCGGGCCACCTACATCTTCCAGGAGAGGATGGAGGGGGTGGGTTTCTTTGGAGATCCGGGGGTTAGAAGCTATGTAGTACAGTGACATATATAGACAGACACATCATCACATGGAAGTGGATCGATGGAATGGCCTTTGGGAAGACGATCTTCTATACTACCAGAGGGCGGTTTTTTCCACTTTGTGATGTGTTCGGCTGTGTTGCGAGACACACATCCAACCATGTGTGGGACCTAGATCCGCGTGCCGAACTCCTCCGCCGTTCGGCCATGCACCGAGCTTCTCAGGAGGTCTTTGCTCACTTCTATCAGACGATGGAAGACACCTACAGTGACCTGGTGAGAACTGCCGCCCTTTGAGCGTGGTCAATGGTGGAGGGGATCGTCCTGGAATGTGGTCAAGTGCAAAGGGCGCATTGGGGTCGAGAGGGGTATAGGATGGTCAGGTTCGGATAGTTGTTTCACCCGGGAGCGCTTGGCATCGGAATTCATTCATTTCCCTCCGGCGCCCACCGTGCTGGCCCGCTTTGCACCGACCAATTTCACTTGAGCAGCTTCAAAAACCTCTATGATGAAAAGTGTGCAAACTGTAATCTCACATTCTTTCGCGAAAGCCAAAACGCAGGTCGCGAAAGGTTCGCGAAAGCCCCGCGAAAGAACCCCAGAAGAACAGCGTCGCGAAAGCTTTCGCGAAAGTCGAATTTCTTGTGCATGTCGTGTTGTTTATGTGGGTGACCATATTTTTATGCAGGCAGCCGCAGCAGGCCAGCCAGCCAGCCAGCCAGCCAGCCGCAGCAGACCAGCCAGCAGCAGCAGCAGCAGCAGCACTGACACTGAAGAGCAAGTGTTTCAGGGGAAAATCGAAAAGCCCAGACGAATTTCCGCGAAAGCCGCGCGAAAGCCTCGCGAAAGAACCGCGAAAGTCGAAAATATCCGGGAAAGGTATCTGGCCCCAGCAAAAACTTTCAGCAAGTTTTCCTCCTCTTCTGATGACAACAATAATACTTGAACGGTGCTGCTACAACTCCTTGTGCCTGGATGTTGCCGGAAAGAAATTTGTTCAGTTTTGACATATCGGATAACTTATATAGATCAATCACTTTATTGTACAATATCCCAATCGAATTTCCCAATCGAAAAAGAATCGCCGCGAAAGCCGCCGCGAAAGCCCCACAGAACACCACACCTTCCGCGAAAGCCAGAATGCAGGCCGCGAAAGCTCCGCGAAAGCTTTGCGAAAGCAAACCTGGATTATACAAAAAAGTAATAGGGGCTTTCGAAGCTGCTCACTTGAGGAGACGATCCACGATGGAAGAGTGCCTCGAAGAGGTATCCCAGATTGGAATTGGTGCAAGCTCCCACGGCGAGTGCCTTGGCCGAAAACACGTTGCGACCCTTTGCCGCAGGGGAACAAACAACTCCTATATTTTATGAGAATTATTATAGCATCTCGCATGGATCAAGCTCCCAAATCCTCCACCTCTACAAATGTATACGACTATTGAGAAGTCTTGTCCGTCCAGCCTCTCACTTTCCAAGCAGGTCTCCTGAACGATTTGGATGAGGATCACCCAGCAGTTGCCCTTCAAACCCATTCGCTCAATGAAACCCATCGGATGTACCGGCCATGGGCGTGCTGGCCATGGCGTCAACTTGCTAGTCTCACCGACGAACGTCATCACGTGGAAGTGGATGGAGACCATGGACCCATTGGATGACGATTCGGAGAGCATACCAAACAGGTGGAGTTCACTCCACGTCCATGTGATGTGTTCGTCAGAGGGTAAAAAACCATCCATGTTAGTCTTCAAAGTTTTAGAGTATCCTCCTCCGTGGTTTTAGACTAGTGTCCACTTCCATCTTAGTGCGGAAACTTGGATTTTTGAACCAACTCTTTGGACATCTCCCAAACTGACATGAGAAAACCTCTCGCGCAGACTTAGAAGTTTCAGAAACTCGTCCAGCTGTGTATGGAAACATGTGGAAACTATAGCTATCCAGTTGTTTCCTCAGATGTTCTTTTTCTTTATGTTCTTTTCTTTTTCAGTACTTGAACCTTTCTTGGGATCTGAGGTTTCTGTGGCAGCGATGCGAGTTTGAACAGGGACAACGACCCCAAAGCCGCCTCTTGGGCATGTCATGGCGCATGATGGCACATGTTTAAAACTCATCGGCTTTTGGCCCTTTGCTCGTAGTTATATTAGGCACGTTCCTGAACGGTCAAGATTCATCAACATTCGATGTGCTGCAGCGTGTGCACCACTTGTCAAGAGGAACAACCAACTGGTTTGCCCCTCTCGTTGTTTTTGCCTTCCAGCTGGGCACTGAAGACCTGCCAAGCAGTGAAGGTGAGGAAGCCTTCACACCTGACCTTCACCATCATGATATGGGTACCCAACACCTGACTGGTGCAATTCGTAGGGAATGAAGGAATGACCCCCGACCCCAACCGGTTAGAAGATTCCTTAGGACCCCCAGCCATCCTGACTTTGAAACAGTCAGATGCGGTGACAAACTGTCAAGGACATCCATATTTCACTCCATGTCCAACCCGGTGCTTTGGGATCATTTGTTTTGCTCCAAACTACCAACTCGCCACCACCAACCAAATTTGGGCACGTTGCTCGAAACATACTTTGGACTACGACCTACCTCCTCGACCGGTCGAGGACATCAATTCCTATTCCTTGGCCAAGCGCGCCCGGGACGAGCTGCGCTTCTTAGCCTCGGGCGAGGTGACCAACTCCCTCTACGGAGAGCCCTTGAGCCACATCCTGACGCTCGGCCGGACGCGCGTTCAGCGAGGACGGAGGACGGGCAGGACGGACGGCTTTCGGAGCAAGGGACTGAGCCCCGAGGAATACCGTCAGAGACGATGAAATGGAAGGAAAACCGTTGGTTTTTGGTTTTTGGTGTGTGTGGGTGTGTGTGGGTGTGCGGGATCTTATTTTTTTTGGCGAGAGTTTCGTGGTCGTTGTTCTCATGGTTGATGGCTTGTGACCTTTCTTTTAAAACTCTGGAGATGTTTCAGGTATTCTTGATGTGGTTCGATGTGATTGCTAACATCTTGCAACTCGCCAAACCATCGTTGGCAACCCTCGTTGTGAGGTACGTGTGGCCCATTCAGATCAACGTGACCCAAGATCCGAACAACAACCAGACCTATCACACGGCCCTGGCGCAATCCATGACCGTTGCAGAGGCCTTGTGCCAATGCGTCTCGCCCCCCAGCAGGGACGGCGCGGCGGCCGTGCCGTATCCCTTGAGCTTTCCCATCGCCGAGTCCTCGCGGAAGCCGTCCGAGTGGCACGAGATCTGCCCGGAGGTGCGGACGGTGATGGCGTAGAGGTCGAGGCCGGGACGACCGCCCATGGACCGGCCTTTGCCTCTGCCTGGATCCGGGTCGGTGGAAGTGGAATTCCGTTTTGGGCCACTGGCAGTGGGAGTCTTTTGATTTGGGGCCATTTGGGGCTTCGAAGTGGCCATGACGGAAGATGGGGGGATTGTTTGGCAGATGGACGAAAAGTGGACCAAGAGAGAGTATTTGATGTTGTCCGATTTGTCGGGAAATGTTGATCTGAGTCCACAGTGTGAGTCTTCAACTTGGTGCGCCGCAGACATGGGGCTGCACGCGCCATTTTTTGCGGAAAAAGAGCTGTTCAGAGTGCAGGCACAGAATATCACAGAATCGTACATGGATCACAATTGGATCACTAAGTGACGTTGAAAACTTCTTTGGATTTTGCCAAGAGCACCTGTCCTTTGGATTATTTCGAATCTCACTGCAGCCATTGTGCTGACTCAAGTCGCGACACAGGACACGACTGTCGTCGGTCATGTCTGACGCAGTGTCCACCGTGTCGCTGCCGTCACCCGCGGCCAGCGTAGCCGAGTCGGCCGAAACGGACACCACCGTGCTCCAGGCGTGGAGACGTCGGCCGAACCGGACTGCGTGGGGAAGGTGGCGGATGAAGAACCGGTCCAATAAACATAACGTGGAGGTGATCCAAGGGCATCCTATAGGGCCTAAACATTATACAAGCTCTGACAGTCCCAATTCAGACAATAAGCGTGGTTGTTGCTTGCATGCCCCCTATCTATAATGTTTCTTCCCTTCCAATATTTCCACACTGCCCTGGATCTCACCACCACACCGCTGCGGCCGCTCCGCTCGGCCCGGTCCTGGGAGGAGTCCTTTGAAGAATCCTATGTGGAGCTCGAGGAGCTCGGTCGAGGCAAGGAGACGGGAAGGAATTCAGGTCGGCGACGGCCGCATGAAGCTGTGACTTGAGGCTGCAAGGCGAAACAGACATGGTTCCACTTGTGGACGGATGTCTGGTCGCACGTCCGGTGTTTCGGGGGTCTGGTCGCACGTCCAGTGTTACGCTTCGGACCCGCCACGGCGCGGACCCTTCGGACCCGCCACGGCTCGAACGCTTGACGAGGTGAATTCGGCCTCGTCCGACGTGCCTTCCACCGAAAGACTGGGAAGCAAGTGGCTGCCGCTGGGACCTTTCATTCCGACCGAGAGACGGTGGACCACCGAGCGCACGTCGTCCGGCGGAGAACGCGCGCGCGCAGACTTGGGGAGGCGCGCTTAAGGCGGAGTCGAAGTGAACCCAAAGGATCAAAGCAAGACGGATCGCGAGTCGTTCATTCCTGTAGACTTGACTGCTAGCAGCTTCTTTTCTTTGCATTGTTGCAGCTCCATCTCCCACCGAACCGCCGCGGTCGCCCGAAGAGTCCGGCTGAGGTGAAGCACCTGCCCAAGACGGCGAAGAGCGCGGAAGAAGTGGCGATTTTGTCGCAGCTCACCGGCCATGACGCTCGGTCGATCAGCGAGCGAGCGAGGTACGGCGGGCGAGCGCGCGAGCGCGGTTGCCGGTTCGGGCAGTTAGAGTGAAGAATGAGCAGATAAGACCAGGTGAGTTCAGTTACACAAATGGGATTTCATGCGATCTCGGGGATCGTTTTTCTTTTTGCCTGAGATTATTGCGCGATGAGAAGGTTATTTCGAGGATGTATAAGTAAGCTTTGTTTGCTGTGTGGGCAACCGGGGTAATGGTCCAAGTCCTTCAGCTCCTTTGCTGCGTTCCATGTCTGACAATATAGGCTGTTGTTAACGGAGTGTCAAAGGACGCTTGACATGGTTCATCATGGTTCCAAGGATTTCTGGTTCCGGAAATCCTCGTGAACTGTTTTTGGATTGGGTGGCACGAAGGAAGCATGTCGTGCAGTTTTCGTGAAATCTCCTGCTCCAAGGAGAACATTGCCCGATTGTTGAACTATTTTGAGACGGAGCAGGAGGGGCGAGACCAAACTGTCTATAGTTTGCTGACCAAAAGATGAACATAATTCAAATTGTATCCTCCAACGTTGCAAATAATCCCAAAAAGTGCAATTGTCTTGTATGTCTATTGTGTGATTGCTAGGTTGGCTGCTGTCACAGCCATCCAAGCTCGACCACGAAACAAACCAGTCAAGTATGTTTTATGGTAGCTGTACTCGATTGAACAAGCATAGATGCTCACAGCAGCACCGTGGCTAGAGGAGATTCCCACCATTTCTGGTTAGTCCAATCCAAATGCTTCGTTTCAGGAAGATCAGCCGGAGATGCTTGGTCAAATGTTTGTTTCTGCCAGGAGCTTCTTGTGGTTTTGGAGCTTTGCGATGAAGGGCCACTGAGTGACTACTTGATCAAGCATTTGAAGGCCGCTGCGCAGTTCCGGAAGAGAAGCGGGGGGACGTGAAAGGAGGTTCCGCGCTCAGTGTTGTCTACAACAGCTTAATAAATCCACAATTTGTGCCTCGGTCTTGGTCTATTTACATAGATGTCTATATATGCAGTCTATCTTATTTATGTACTGTTTCATACCATTATCATCACTTCGTGGCATGAATATCGACTGAAACCGATGGTTTTCTGGGCCGGGATGTCCGTGAAGGGAATCTTGAGCGCTCCAAACTCAGCTGTGACAGTCCTTGGCACTAGGCAAACACAGCGCATTCTATGTGTGACCACCATCCATTGGTGTTTGCTTACTCTGTTACACCGCACTGTTTTGCACATCTTCAGCCTTTGGTCAGTCGCCGACTTGTTACACCGAAAAGAATCGAATCATATCGAATCACATTACCAGTCTTATCCTTATCCAATCTTGGTTCCGAAATTTGTTCACTCTATGGTGTACAATACCGCATTTTCTTGGACAGGAGAGACCTCGGATCAAACATGATCTAACCTGCCCTTTCTTGCCTTGGTCGAAATACATAATATACTCATAAATGTACATTATACTATATTACTATATTCTGTCTATATAGAACTGTTTCATGATATATATTATCATCAGAGATCAAACCTTTCAGTTCTTTTTTCCGGATCAACCTGTCCCGAACAGGGCCGACCTCTGAGTGATGAAGAGCGCGCTGCTCTGTTGCAGTGTCTCAGCGGCATTTTTTCACGATGAGATCCCATGAGAATTCTGAGAGCGTCGAATGGTCTCAGCGAATGATTTCTAATGGACTCCGTGTTCACCAATCAATATATAATTCACACGATTCTCCGTGTTGGAATCGTTCTTTTCCAAGAACACAGCGGGATCAGACTATAGAAACAGAACCTATATTTGCTGATGAAAAACACTGATTGTCAAAGCATCCTGACGGAATGAAAAGGTACCTGATTGTCAAATTCAAAGACCAGTAAAGCCGGAAGTTGGAACTCCAGGCAACTCCTCTTGGCTGTGCAGCATTGCCATAAGTCCGGCTTTGTTCACAATGACCTCAAGTTCGACAACATCATGTGCCTTGTTGGCCTCGAGTTCGTCACGCAGAGGGTGAAGACAGAGTGTTGTTTTCTTTCTTCGCTTGGCTTCAGGGCTGAAATGGCCAACAAGAAACACAACCAACCATGCATATCAAATTTGTATATCAATTTGCCTTTTTTTGCCCATATGCAGCTTTTCACGGGCCATTCATGCTCCGACTGAAAAACTCGAAAACTTGTTGAAGTGTCCAAGTTCTCCAGATGTAACTCCTGCAATTTGATGCGACCCATCCTTTCTACTTGTACCACCAGTACCCTATATAGTATACCTTCCCGTTCCCGTCACCAAAGCCGCTTTCGCTTCTGCAGGTTGGCCTCCGGCGCTTCGTTGCCGAAGCTCAAGTTGCGCCAAGCTGAGCGCAGTGGCCCGTGGATCGCAGTTTGATCCGACCATGTGTCGGACCGTGTGTCGATTGAGACGCCGTGGGCCCGAGGATTGACTTTGGAAACGCCTCTCGCGCAGATGCAAAGAGAAAACCCGCCGAGCCTTGGGCGCAAGTTGAGGAAAGCGCAAGGTTCTTTTTGGGGGAAGGAATCCTCCATGGTCCACTTGTAGACAACCACAACATCCTGTACTATTAGCAACGATGGCTTTTCGACATTCATTTCCACACAGATGTGGCAGATGTTTCATGCTTCAAACCTCTGTGGCATCCGGTGCTCAACATCAGAGTTGTTTCCGATCGGCGCTAGGATGATATTTGGTTCTTGGGCTTGATCTTCTACCAGCTGATTACTGGCCAGCCATTCTTCCAGATGGACAACGACGAACTGGACTCCCTGGAGGAACAGGGGGTCTATGTGGATCCTGGAAGGATGCAATGCGATGCCTACTACGTGCAGCTCCGCCTTTCCATCGCAAAGCGCTTTGCGAACAGCGCCCCGGCGGGCGGCGTTGCGATGTGGGTGCGAGGATGTGACGGGGGTTGGGATGACAGAGCCTGTAGCAAAAACCAGGAAGTCGAGATGACTTAGTTGGACTCTTTGTTTGATGGGGAGTTCTTGTGGCACAGTGTTGGGATTCAAGCCATTTGTAAAGTTTTGAGGGACTTAGGATCATTGGGGCCAGTGGTGCAGTGTGTAGTCATCTCAATACTATTTGTGGCCTCGATCGACACACTATTGGGTTGAGTGGCAGCGTTGTTTTTTGTATAGCTAGTATAGTTTGTGCTTCAATTGTTGAAAGAACTGATCAATGTAAACCGTGGAACATGATGGAACCGTGTTAAACCGTAAACTGCAGGTGGAACTGATCAATTGGAAACTGAGCATTTGGTCCTGTGGAGGTTTTTAAGCGAAAGCACTGAAGGAGGCACCGCAAGGATGCCATGTAGCAGTCACCGCGAAAGCGAAAGCAAAGCGCATGAGCTATACATAGTCTCCTTTATTGCACGTACCGCAATAGAAACATGTGAAAGAAACCATTGCATCGCGAAAGCGAACCGCGAAACGCTTCGGCACCCAAAGCTCCCAAAGGCGAAAGCGGAGGTTCCCGAAAAAGGAAGGGTTTGTTTGGTGTACGCCCCAGTAACCAACTATAGACTATACTAGCGATCACCTCCAACAAAAGACATGAAAACACCTGTGGAAAGCGGATCCTCACGATCCTCACGATGCTGAGGCATCACTTTGGACCTCATGTCCAAAATGCTTCAGACCAAGCAGTCGGCGAGAGACGTGGCCAGAGAAGCAGTCGTCCGTTCTCATCCGGAGACCATCGGTGATGTTCATAGACCTACCGGTCCCTCCCTTCACGGTAGAAGTACGACAAGCACTCTATAGCGACTCTAGCACTAGTGATACTAGTGTCCAGGACATGATTCGATTCAACGCTTTGAGCACTAGATGTTGTTTTGTTGAAAAGCAGCTGGGTTGGGATGCGTGCAAGGGTATGGCCCTGGCCGTTTTCCTTTGCTGAAGGCTGCGTGATATCAAACACTTAATTCAGATGTGTGTCGGTGTTTTTTTGAGAACCGTTGTTGGTAGGGATGTAGTATTTGCATTTCAGATGCTTAAAAAGACACCGTATTTTACAGTGTGTTGTGGATGTTTTGGAAGGGAATCAATAGGAATCAAAAGGAAGCTAAACGGAAGTCGATCAAAAGGAATTTCAATAAGAGGGATTCAAAAATACAAATAAAGAACAATGACACACGTAGACATTATTCCAGAGGGTGCTTTTATTGAAGCCGAAAAGCGCATACATTCTTTTAGGGGGTTTTATTATTCAAGATCTCTAGTGCACTGGGCTACCCCCTATGTGGAATAGATGTGTGCAACAAATTGAAAAGAAGCAAGCGCTGAAGAATTCAAAGGGAGGTCAATAGAAATCAAAAAGAATTTAAGGAACTGAATGAACTCAGTTGGAATCAAAAGGAATCGAAAAGAAGATCATTGGAAAACACAAGGCTTTTAGAAGGGAATCAACAGGAATTAAACATGACTTCAATAGAACACATCATTTGGAATCAACAGGAATTTAAACAGACATCATCGGACATCAACAGTTTCTTGTTGGAAAGTGTTTAACATGAAACCAACAAGAAACAAGAGGCATTCAACTTAAAAGGACGTTAATGTGAATTGAATAGGTGCTTAAACATGCATCTAAGACTTGGTCAATGCAGATCCCAAACCTGGTCCATGGAGTGCAGGCCTGTGAATGTCCAGCCTGACACCAAAAGAAGAGGACTGTTACTACTAGCTTCTTGTTACTACTAGTAAGGCACCTGTTCCTAGTAGCGTGGCACTTGTTACTAGTAGCTTCTTGTTACTACAAAAAAGAAGACGCGTTTCTAGAAGTCTTGGCGGGGGCATTCACGAGTCCCAGAAAACAGAAACACTTTGAACACAAATCAAGAAAAAAACACGGGATTCCCGAAGTTTCTTGGAGGAGGTTGGCAACAGAGAGTCTCAGATGTGTGTTTTTTGTTTTCTCGTGTGTGTTTTTGCTGTTTTTTTCCAGTGGGAGGTAGATACAGGTGATGCCACATTTGCATTGTCTCAGGCATTTTGCACATGTTTGAAGTGGGCAGCAAATGCGAGTGATGCAACATATGGGTTTCACAAGAAGGCAAGTGGACATGCAAAATATACTGCAAGTATTTGATGTTCTATGCATATTACCAAGGACAAATACATTCGATCCATACTGATACACAATGTGTACACCGGACAGCCTTCCAAATCCCTTATAGGTAACCAAAAGAGTTCCTCATTCACCCTGGTATTACGTAACCACATGGCACCCCAAATAATGTCCACGGCCAAATTCCATTCACGGCAATGAATGGTTTTGAAACTGGAGCCTTGTTTTTCGAAACCTTCTTGGCAAGAGGAAGGGTTTAAAAGTGTCTCCGTAAGCCTTTCTTGCAGTTACTGCAATGGTTTCAGAGTGGCAGGGTGTACTTGTTCCCCACATTGACGTGTGGGGTTTATATTTTTAGTTTTGTATCCGTCCCGCCCTCCGCCTCCTCCCGCCCTCTGCCACCAAGCAAATGCCACCAACAACTGCCACCCACAATTGTCATGAACCAATGTCATCAACCGATTCT